CCAAGAGTATCCATGCGAAGTCTCGGAGCAGCGAGACGCTGCCCATGTCAACGGTTACCGCGTCTCTTTAGGCTTGCGAACGGCCGTAGTCAGAAGACGATCCTTAAAATGCGGCAAGCCATAGCCTCTGACAAAGCCTGGCAGATCACCCCGAGAAGCGGCCGCCGAAATGGAAAAGGTGGAGCGGCAGACAGCGGATGAGAGGAGAGCCACGTGACTAGCGCCCCGCTGTGGCGAGACGCCGAAACACACTTCCCCTGAGGGAACAAGTGTGTTTCGGGTCCTCGCCGCTTCAAAAGCTGTGGGCTGACGCAACACCTCCTAGAGAAGAAGGCCAGAGCGCTCTGAAAGGTTACGTCACAATGGCGGAGGAAGGAAGTCCATGGCGCAACTACGTGAGAATACGCTATCGACGTGAAAAAAATGGACCTCGGCGCGGTGGTGTTCATGCGGTTCATGCGCTTTTATCCGGCATTAATATACGTTTTAAAGGCGCAGTCTTGTACAATTTATTATATATATAATTTAAACGTAATATACAACGCGTTACCAAGGTTGAGAGTACCAAATTTATATTTATGAGTATCCCCGTAACCGCGGGACTACGTGCAGTTCCGCAGCACCCCACACTTTTCGAAAGGACCGGCTGCGACGCTGCCCATGCGATGCCACATGGCTCCGATTCTGTTAAATTTACGTTGTGTGTGAGCTGCTGACTGTCTGAAAAGGAACGCTGAGACATCTCAGAAGGGAAGGAAACCGAAAAGAAATCCAGTCATTGTCGCAGGGAGCGCACACGAGCAAGAGATGGGTCGACAACGTCAAGCCTTTCGTCGCCGCTGCTCTCGTGTGTGGTACTTTTGAGACTTGTTTCCCGTCGTATTTTTGTCATCACCGTAGTCTCGGGTAGTTTTTTTGTGTTCGCTTGATACTACGGCATTTACGTGGATTCGTGAAACAAGTCCTGCTTCGGTTTGAGTGACATGTGTGACAACTAGCCAACGAAGACTGGTCGATTAATCGGTAGACCTCTCTCTCGACAGAGAGAGGCTTCTTGGAGTTCGTGTTCAAATGTGTACGTCACGGATATTGTGGGACGTATGGATACGATCGACAGGTGAGAAGCAACTTATTTACGGGCTTTCTTGGTCATGTAGAACCCAAGTAAGATGCTGCAATCGTTTTTTTTTTGTTTTTTTTTTCTAATCGCATGATAGACTGCAATTTTGTTCTTGTCCTAATTCGTGTGCAGTTGCGTCGACATTTGTAAATATGCGCGCTAATCTAGTTTTCACTGGAAGGTGAAAAACAAGTTTGTGTGATTATTGAAAGTGCGTTGTTCGTGGTTCTGTGTTTATTTATACTTAAGTTATTGTATTGCCTTTTCCGCGTTTATACTAGAATCTTAACTGTATTAAGGTAATAATATTATTATATACAAAATAAGTTATATTTTGTTCTAAGGCAGCTCGAGCCCCACAGGGAGAAGTAAATGAGTAGTAAGTTTAGTACCCCTGCCACACGGAAAAGTTAATATATTTTCATTCAGTGATATAGGATTTAATCAGCTCGCGGTCTTGAGTGATTATACGAGCCCCGCAAGCGGATTTGTCGACCCCACAATGTCATTCGATCGAAATTGCATTAATTTTGCCATGTGGCCGGGGTATGATGCAAGAATTCAGTGACTGCACGCGATAACGTCGCTTACATGATCGTGAGAAACACTTGTCTTGCCTTGTCCGCGTTGACTACGTCTACCTGATTTTTAACTGTTCTGTTTTGCTGTTTCCAGATCACTGCGTGTCTCGCCATTTTGTCGAAGTATTTCTGTATAAAATATGCATTCCTACAACAATAATTGCATGACTCAATGTTTTCGACTTAAAACAATCACATTTTTTTATAGACGTCTTGTACGCATACCTCGTGCCATTTCGTACCGATTATTTAGCGGTGTAATATTTTGCTCGTGTAATAAAATGTTTTCTAGACCCGTTGCTATGTGCAGCTTTCATTTTAGCTAATATGACACGCGTATGCGACTAAAAACGCGTTACGACGGTCGATCTACGCGCGGTGCATTCGCTTCGACGCGCGCCCCCGATGGCCTTCCTTTGCGACGTCACGAGAAGAGCGCTACGGCCTTGTCTTCTAGGAGGTGTTGGCTGACGTCCAGGTTCTCCGAGAAACGGCTCTTTGATCCTATGTGCTACCAGATCCTCGCGCTCCAAATCTGCGACCGGGAACATATATGGCTCCGTCGTCGAACTGCCAGGCTTTGTGAATATACAGGAGGCTATGCTACAGGTAACGTGCCACGAACGCTCGGCCAATTGAGCCAAGAATGTCCACTCGGGGGTCTTGGAGTAGCGAGACGCTGCCATGCCAACGGTTACCGCGTCTTTCTAGGCTTACGGAGAACCGGGATCAGAACACGGTCTTTAAAAAGGGGCAAGCTCACCGCTCATTCTCTCAGATTTGAGCGAGATAAAGCGAAGCGAAATTCGGCTGCACCATTCACTGGCAATGAACGTGGCTCTAAGGCAGCGACCGTGATGAATTTCCTCCGAAGCGAGCGGAAAGGGCGGCGCAATCCAGGGTTGGGCAGAAATACTCTCAAAAGTATTCGAAAATACAAATACTGGGATAATTGCCAAAAACAGCCAAAAAACCGATACTGAAATTCATTTATAAAAATGTACCGTGATACGTAACAGAAATACTTTTGAAAAATACAAAAGTATTTGCATACAAATACATTACATTTTGTTGGGGCTGAAATACAGACACTGAAATACTTTGTTTTAAAAGCAATATTTTCGACCTTTTGGTGCACTGCTTAGTGCGTACGGAGAACAAAAAGAGAAGCATGATCTAGAATACGATATTTTGTTCTTAAATCAGCAAGCAAGTACTCACTGCATGTTGGAGCCTGAACTAAGCTCGAATCAAATTTACCGCAAAATTAAAATCTTCTATTTTGGGAGGTAGTATTGGAAGCAAGCGATCTTTTTTTTACCCCAGAGACATCTGAATCAGTCATGTGTCTTCCCACATAACTTCGAAAAGTCACTCGATTATGTCCAGTCCGGATGCCTGTTTCAGCAATGACCTTTCGACGTCACGTCGTATGAAGTTCAAAGAACCCGTACCCTTTCAACTGTTGGGCGCGCCGACAGCACCTTCCCCTTTTGGAATCTACTGGAATAGTCGACCCTCTAAAGTTTTGGAAAACATTTGTTAACTTTTTCACAATAAAGAAGGCAGTCATGTGCGGACAGATACACCAAACGTCCCGGCCGAAACTTGGTCTTGACCTTCTGTGTGAAGGTAAGCAATTATTTTATAACGGTAACAAAAATGCATCGGACCTAATAGTGTCGCGATACCAAGGACACATTCGAAAATGTATTTTGTTACAGAAATACAAAGTACAGTTGAAAAACTGTATCGCGATACAGAAGTATAAATACATATGTTTCTGAAATACTATTTCGCGATACTTCCCAACTCTTCCGCCACGTTTGCCGACGTAACCCGGCCCCAAGCAAAGAGGGGCCCCACGCTGTTTCTCGAATTTTGCGCTGGGGAACGAGAGTCGATCCAAAAACCCAACCCACAGTTTAAGTTCGGCGCAAGCGCAGTGGTGGGCCCCTATTTCTTTGGGCCCCCGAGCCTTGGTGCCCCCTATTTCAAAACTCTCTATCTGGATCGCGGTATGTGGAAATGTGTATGCACTATTCTTGAGGATGCGGAGCGGTGATCTCTTCTTTTCGACGCCAGATTGTACTCCGACCCATTCTGCGGTGGAGGTGAGCACGTTGGTTGCAATCAGACGTTACTGAAAACATTAACGCAAGAACGGATTAAACGACGCGTCATTCACTAAGCCATCTATTGGGATGGCTGGCACGAAAACGAAAGAACGCAATTGGCCGAACGCGGGTAATAATGAAAATACCGTTCGGTTACTCCGTTTCAACGGAGATGGATTTGAAGGTTATATGACCTTCGGTGACCGAAAAAGTGGGCACACGTGATGCTCCCGTATCGCAGCATGGGTAGAATAAAGTACGCCTAGTGCTGTGCTGTATTGCGCCTGCCAGCCTGCTCGCCGAGTCAGTTCAAAACGTGTTTTAAGGCGATAGCTTTGTATGAAAATCATGCGCGGGGACCTTGCTTTCCCGTGCTGGCCGCATCGTAGGAAGGCCATGCGAGAGACTATCAGCAGCACAGCATAGCTGTTGGCTTAGCGCCAGTGGCATCGCGTCTCGCGGAGTGAGAGGAGGCAGCATAGCTGATGTGTGCTCTATCTCTCTCTCCGTTTCTCTTGCATTATTGTTGTGTTGCATTGTTTTGGGTTCGGAAGCGAATGATCCGATGTTCGAATTACATGTAATTCTTGATAATGTAGTGATTGCGCAGGCGAGCTGGTGGATGTTAACCATTTTGTTCTTAGCCCGAGACTGAGGCAGGAAAAGAGGAAAGTTTCAAATTAGAAGAAAAATGAACAGACGTGTCCTCGACTGTTCATTTTTCTCCTACTTTGAAACTTTCCTCTTTTCCTGCCTCAGTCTCGGGCCAAGAACAAAATATAATCCTTGCTGCAGCCGCTAGGGTGGTATAAGACACTAGATCTTGAGATGCAACTCTTTCTGTCAGGGATCCCTGGGACAAGCGTCTTCCGTAAGGCCCCCGACACTTTCCACTCTTGCTGAGGGAACACTGGAGAAGAGGCAAGAAGGGACTGGCCCCCTCTCACTTTCTCTCCAAGAGTGTTTTCTGCTCAAGTGGAAAGAGTGGAGGGCATTGTGGGAAGGAGCTTGTCCCAGGGATGTACGGGTAGACGTTCCAACCAGAACTCAGCGTTCCGACGTCCCCGCGTGCTTCCGTCTCCTCCTCCCCCTCAATTTCTAGCCGAATAGACTCGGAATAAAGTGGCCCCTGTGTGGTGCGTGTCCCGACAGTTGCTCACACCCGTTGCCCGCTGGCCGCAGGTTCGGAACGAGGAGAGCGGGCTGTGCATCGATACGCAGTTCAAGGGCCAGAACGAGCGGTTCTCGCTGGCGCCCTGCCTCAAGGACCAGCGGGGCCGGTCCGGGGAACAGCAGCTCGTGCTCACCTGGCACAAGGACGTGCGGCCGGCCAAGCGCAGTGTCTGCTTCGACGTGTCCAGCTCGGACGTCCACGCGCCCGTCATGCTCTGGAGCTGCCACGGCATGCACGGCAACCAGCTGTGGAAGTACGACACGGTGAGCATGCCAGCGTTGTGCCACCTAGAAGACGAGGCAATACCGCTAGGGTGCCTGGAACGCGTTCGTAACTGGTGTGTTAAGCGTCCTAGTTTACCCGTGCGTCCAAAGTGGTTCTGAAGTGACATCAAATAACGTCCCAAAAGCTCTTATGTCATGTTGTTGGATGTCGTAATCATGTTAAACGTTGAAGTTCTGAGGAACGAAAAGTGAAAGCCGTTTACAACTCCCTGTAACGCCGAATTTGAGCGCAGCTCTTGAGGAGGAGGAGGGAAGGGTACGGGGGGGGTGGGTCACGTGACCTTGGGGGGTCACGTGACGATGCCGATGACGTCATCAGTGACGATAACGATGCGGATACCGATGACGTCATCAGTGATGATGACGATGCGGATGCCTGTGACGTCGCTGATGGCGTCATCAGCGATGATGACGATGCGGATGCCGGTGACGTCATCAGTGACGATGCGGATGACGGTGACGTCATCAGTGCCGATGACGTCATCGGGGGGTCACGTGAGTTGGGGAGTCACGTGACTTTGGGTGTCATGTGATCTTGGGGGTCACATGACCTTGCGGTGACCTTGGGATGACCTTGGGGGGTCACGTGACCTTGGAATGACCTTGGTTACGCCGAGGGCGACGTCGCTCAAGCCGGGAACGGGCCTCTAAGAGCTGCGCTCTAAAAATAAAAGCAGGTTAGAATGCTAGTGTCGCTGTCGCTGCGGCGTCCCAACCCCTGGCTGCCGAAGCCTCCGCGGGTGCACTCTAAGAAATGCCTGCGCGTGTACTTACCCGCAAAACACTAGAAGAGCCAGTCTCTGCTAGTTACGAAATCAGCTCAGCGAACGATGAGGCGGAACATCCGTTTAGACTTAAAAATGAAGTCTGGGATGTTGGCATTACGCAATGCAAAGCGTCATGCTTGCATTGCGCAATACCGCAGCGCAGACTTAATTGTAAGGTCGAAACAGATGTTACACCTCATCATTCGCTGAGCAAATTTCCTAGATCGCAATGATTGGCTCTTTGAGGGTTTTGCGGCTAAGTAGTCGCGTAGGCATTTCTTAGAGTGTACTGTCAAGCTGGAGAGCGAACTGCAACAGATCAAACGTTTGCCTCATCCGACACCGTAGGGATCGCGGCCGGCGTCAACATGACAATTTTACGACGTCATGGGGCGGAAATCGAGAGACCACATCTTGGGACGCGGCAAATACACTGGTAGGAGACGCGTTACAGGCGCCATAATAGACCCTTTCCGAGATGTTGAAATGATGCATAGACTATGGGCAGCCGCCGTCAGTTTGTCTCACCGCTTCGGAAGGCACGGCGTCTTCAGTTGAACGTTTCGCCGATGGTGGAAGGCCGACCACATCGACGCTTCTGGTCGCGCACGCCTCGAATAAGAGCGAGCAATATTTCACGGCCGATCGAGCTAACGCGGGTGCTTTCCCGCCCGTGTCAGCCGCTGCTCCTGGCACGCCGGCTCGAAGCGGGGAAGCCTGATACCCGCTACTCGAGGAGCGCGCGGAGCACGATTAGGAATATTCTGAACTCCGCGCGACATCAAACTGGCCGGATCAGGGGAACCGAGCGCAGCGGCAGCGTCCGTGCGCGTCAGAGAAAGACACGAGAAGGTGAATCCACGCGATGGCAGAAGCCTGAATCTCTTTAAGGCCTGTTCTAACCCCTAACCTCACCCTTTGGCGGGCGCAAGCACAGGGTAGGGTGAAAAAGAGGTGGAAAAATAATCGGTGGTTCCTCGCAGTGTTCTGTAGATGAATTGTGGCGACGGCTGAGATGTCTGCTTAGGTTTAGCGCAGGGTATTCGTCTGCCACAGTGACGTCACGCGGCGCCACGTGACACTGCGATGTTACGTGGCACCGTAACGTCACGTGACACCAACGAGCGCGTGCTGGAGACCGTCCATCCGAAAGAGACGCCCAGCCGTTCTCATCGGGTTAGCGACTACAATTGTATCGTGCAAGGTCACCAGCTGGAACGTTGGAGAGTCTCAATGACGCTTTACATTTACAGATATAATCGCTCTTTCAGTAGTTGTTTTGAAACCAGAGCTGGATACTTTCCAGAGATGCTCTTGCATTGCTAACCTTTTTGTTATTTCCGCGCAGTCAAAGCACCATTTAAAACAGCGAACTTATGCAGGAAGCATGTCGCTCGGAGAGAAAACGCTTTCCAACATTTCGGAGCTACATGAATGTCTATAATTTAGGCAAAGTTCGGCCTGCCTATAGTCGTCATGCCCCCCGCTCCTTCCAAGCTACTCTCACACTGTGTCATGTTTAGTATGCAGCACATGTTGTCCAGTAACTGGAATTGCCCGCTAACATTTAAAGTATATTTAAACCGGTGTGTCATCTGTTTGCCGTTTGCCGACCACTCACAGCAAAGTCGACTGCGCACGAAGCTTGTATTGACGCACTAACGACGGTGTTGTTATGCATCAATCCGTGTTTCTGGTGTCGCATAGCTGTGGTGGCGCTGCTGTCGGCACGGCGAATACGTGCAGACGCTTCTCTGACTGGTGTGTTTAACGCTTAAAAAAAAATATGGTCCCTCGATTTCCACCTGGTGACGTTAAGTGTCACGCTGACGCCGGTCGCGACCCTGGCGGCGTCCCAAGAGTGGTGGTGGACCTGTCCTGCTGCAGGTCGCTCTTCAGTGTGGCAGTTCATGGAAACTTCGGCGGCCATACGTTGGGACGTCGTGACGACAGCAGCGACACTCGCGTTCGCTCGTGCTTTTCGCCAGCATTTCTAGAACCCACCGCCGCAATGCGCGATCATCCGACAGCTTGACACTCCGGCTTCCGCGACGTCATTTTGTTGAAACTTCGGGACCGCTTTCGATGTATGGGCAGCACAGGACGTTATTACACATACCGGTCGGAGACGCGCTCCAGGCGCCATTGTGTGGGACAGCGGGAATTTGTTTGTAAACAGCGTTTTGTGTCTATACACAACTCTCAGTTCTTGTATAACGCGGTGCACGCGTCTTTCTCTTTATTCGCAGGTGACGAAGCATTTGTTCCATCCAATCACCGCCAACTGCCTGGACTGTGACGCGAAAAGTCACGAAGTCTTCATGAGTATATGTGATAGTGACGTCCGCACGCAGCGATGGCTTTTCGAACACGTCAACGAAACAGCCCTGGCCAACTGGTGATCCGTCGTACCCCCACTGGAAAATCAGCGATGTGTGACATAATGACGGTCCATCCTTGGCTTTCGAACTGAAAGCAAACCAAGCCGGGTTCTTCAGCAAGGATGGCGGGACGGTGCTTTTGAGAGAGAGAAAAAAAAACGCACCCATGTGTTCTATAAGGCATTCCGGGGATGTCCCAACGGTGTTTCGAGGGTCGTCCAGGATTTCCCCAAGTGGATTTGGAGAACGTCCCGAATACTTATTGAAGTCCAAGTTACTTCTGGATGCTGTCGGGAGTTTCGCGAGGGAGTTATTCCAGTTCCATTCGCGGGATGTGTCGGAAATACGTCGACGATAGCAGTAAGACGGCGTTGTCTTCGCGCAATGTGATTCTGTGGTCTGCACTGCTGGGAACTTCATGTGTGTCAAAATGTGTGTCTACTCTTCCAATTGACTAAGACGGCCGATGCGTCGAGACAGTTTTCGCCTTCGCGGCTGGACAAGTGCGCGCTCTTTTACGCGTGTGAAGTTTATAAGTGGCCGTGCTTGTGGGCCAGGTATGTGAGCATTCCTACAGCAGTATCTCGCAGAAAGTGCGTAACGGTTTGTGAGACGCTTAAATACGCTTCTCGTGAGTAACTAATGCCACTGGTACGTTGTGGGACGTCTCGCTTGAACCGCCAAAAGATCTCGAGACGGAACAGAACTACAAGAAAACTCGTCGCGTGCCAAGTCCACGACTCTTTGCTTCACTTGCGCGCCCGACCCAAAACTACGATCGGTATTTCAGTAACCCGAGACGAACTTCGAACTTTTTTTTCGATCTTTTTCTCTTTCTTTCTTTCTCTCTCTCTTTGTCTGTGACTTTTTTTTCAAGTGACTACAACTTCGAACATGCTGAAGTCCGCCGTTCAGCCATCCAACGTTAATCATGATCGATGGCCACTCCACGGATGAGCCGAAACTTTCTTCGAACTTTTCAAGCCATCCGTCTCTCGGAAAACGTTTTCTTCTGCTTTTAAGGCGCACTCATCGTAAGAGCAGTAAAACATTCGAAAGGGGCAAGGTCTAGTCCGTTACGAAGACCCCTTGTGCCTGGTATACCTGGTATGCCTGCGCCTGGTATGCCAGTGACTGGTAAGCTAGGGCCTGGTATGTCTGTGCCTGGTATACTGGTGCCTGGTGTGCCTGGGCTTGGTATACATGTCGAGGTATGCCTTTTAGGTATGCTTGTTCCTGGCATGCCTGTCCCCAGTATTCATGTCCCTGGTATGCCGCTTCACCGCCCATCGTTGGGACTGAATCTGCTGTGCATCCCATTCACACCATGCGCAGCAATCCATACCTTTGTTTTTTTCTCTCTAAATTTGTTTTTCTTCGAAACTTTGGGTCCGTGCCTTTCGGTTTTAGTCACGAAGCTCAAATGCCTTGGTGCTTTTTGAAGTGTTGGTTGTGTCTTTATATATATATAAACAAATACGGGGCGTACGAGAGCTGAACTTCGATCGTTTGTGTTTGTTGTGAATGAAGAGATGTGCGACTGGAAGGTTATGAGGACTAGGTTCCTCGTTAGGGTTAGCGTTTTGGCCAAAATTGATTGTAAACTGCGTCGTTCTAATGAAGAGTGCGGCCGATGCTACGAGCCATTCAGGGGAGATTAAAGATGAGTCATCTTTAGCCTGACCCGGCATGCAGCTTTGGTGGTACATGAACGCTCTAAGTCAAGTTAATTGTTCTGCTTTTGCATAAACCCGGGTCAGTTTATCAAACAATGCACACCTTAACTTCCTAGAACCTGCATGCTTGTCAAGTCGACCATTGTCGCGTCCAATTGGCTCACAAAGAAAACTACCTAGCGTACTCTAAAGTGTAGATAACGAACCTATAAACAAGGACAGAGATATTAATGTTTAAAATATCAGCTGTCTTAATCTTTGTCTTAATTTGCTTTTACTACCAACGTGATCCTGTAAATCCTTTAATAAGTTTTTTTTTTAATATTATAGTTACGAAATGCTTAAGAAACGCAGGGCATGGTGAGTCCCTATCATCGGATGGATGGATGGATGGATGCTAACGGCTGTACCTTTTATAACGGGCGGTAGCTTGCGCCACCTAGCCTATTATCTTTTCGCGACAAATCAGATTGTGGCAATGGACAGTACGAATGCTGGAGAACGAACCAGGAACCAAGAAGCGAGAAGGTAGTAAATAAACCACGCCCTGCGTTCCTTAACATGTCACTGACTATAGTAAAAATGTTCTGTAATTTAAAGATGCTTTCAGCGAAGGTGTTCCTTTGCTTCTCATTCGGCTGGGACTGTGATACGTTTGGGAAGTGATTTCGTCGCACCGTAGGCCATCGTTTTCCTCGCGCTCTTTATTTTTTATGTCTTTGTTTTATTTTTTGATCTTAGAACAGATTGCTTTCCTTAAAAGAGTTGCGATTGTGTACATGTGTGTGCTTGTGGTACTTCACGTGCTGGTACAGGGTGCGTAGTACTTTCACTTGATCTTGTTACAAGAACCATTCCGATCTTTCACTGACAATTTAAGTGTTCTTGGTGAACGTGCCCTTTCCTTCTTGCTACTCCGTCGAAACTCAAAATACCGACGTGACTGAGACTTGTGCTCGAAAGTGCTCTTCGACAAGGATAAACAAAGCAAAAAATAAAATGACACGTCGTTATTTTTGATGGAGAGCTAGAAGGCGTTTCTTTAGATGGGGAACGAGTATGGTCTGACGAAAAGAACTTCGAAAATAAAAGTTGTTTTCTTTTTGTTTCCAAGTCGTTTGTGTGGACTGCCGACGTCTCAAAACATCAGAACAGAATATTAGTCCACTGAACCGCTCGAAAATCATAAATGCAACATTATGCCCTTTTTAAAAAAAAAAAAAAAAAAAAATATTTTGTGGCAGTGAGAAAATAATGTCTACGGCCATGACGGAAGAAAGAAAGAAAGCGTCTGAACGGCGTCGCGACGTGGAACGGGTGTGTCGAAGGCTCGCTCGCATTTCTGGCAATCGCCGTGAGATGGCGGAGTATGACAATAGACCTCTGATAGACCTTAGGGAGCCTTCATACACTTTCGCCATGTCTGTCTTAGGCACGGTGGAAGAAATACATTTAGGTGGTGACTCTGGCCGCTCTTCACGCGGGGAGCGAGCGGCCAGATCGTGTTCGGAGCTAGCCTCGAACAAGGAGTATACTCTGTTTCACCTTATGATGTACCGCAGGAAAGGCTACAAGCGCGAGCTCCTTGCTCTGGGGCACATCCCGGAGACACAAGCACTCGTGACTTAAGAGCAGCTGCCAACGCTATGAGCTCGCGCTTCTAACCTTCGCTGCGGTACAACATAAGGCGAAACGAGGTGTAGTTGTTCCGCGCCGCCGCGGAGGGCGCTGAGGTGTGAGCACCGTAAGTACAAGGTCTCTCCTCGGCGGGCACGGTGTCGGGGGCGTAGCTGGCTCGCCTTTTTCGCGGTGTGGTGGTGGTGTGCGGTCAGTGGCTGGTCTCATGTTTTGCTTTGGTGCTGTGTCAATCACCGGTGCCACCATCGTGCACGAAGATGAGCCTTAACCCGAAGAAGAAGGTATGCTATAAGGATGGGAAAGACGTGCTTTGTTCCCAACTGCAATTCGGGGTACCGGAACTGCGCAGAGCGAGTGGCCTTGTTCAAAGCTCCATCGAATGGCGCTCGCCTAGAGCAATGGCGCCATGCGATCCCGAGGGCCGATCGCAAGTTACTACCTAGTCTCCTCATCTCGTTGACCAAGTAAAGACCAAGCTTGGCAGTCTGATTTCTGTCGAAGACTGGGAATGCAAAGATGTCTGGACAGAAAAGGCTCAAGAAACCAAGGCTGTGGACTGCATGCTATCTTATGTAACTGGGTTTTTGAGCATGAAAATAAAAAAATAAAAAATTACACGCTGCCCTGCATGCCGATCAGCTTTCAGCATCGACAAGAACACTTCTACTGAATCAGCCCTGACAAACGTGAAGAACAGAGGAAGCCTTATAGGCAGCCGGCAACGGCCAGGCGGCGCCAGCTGCCTATAACGCCCTATCCCGTTGTAACTTGGCAAACGGCGAACGATAAGCCCCACATTGCGTGCCGAAGGCTTCGAAATGCGCTACGTATACGAGCGCGACGCACACATATTGGAGCATGACGCAGCGTAAAGCCTGATACTTCTTCGGAGTTGAGGCGCGCTCCGGTAATACGCACTGACGTTCCGATTGTCCCGCCAGGGCCGTAGCTTCCGCTCTACTGGCACGTTACGCGATCACGGCTTCCTGGGATACCCAGTATTTCTTGCTTCAGACACTAGGCTCAGCGGCGGCGCCACCAGAGTAAAAGCTCACGTTTGAACAATGCAGTCGCCACTCCCAGGGGTACCCAATATTTCTTGCTTCAGTCGCTAGATGGCGCCAAACCAATATAGACGCTTTGCAGCAGCTGTGCATGGGCATCGCCATAACTGACCTTCAGTTTTTATTTCCCCTTATTACGTTTACTTCACTTCATTATTACCATAGCAGGCCAGGTTATAGCCATCTTAGATTTTATTCTGTCTTTCTCCCCACCAATGGCTTTTGTGTAGGCTCGTACACACCAATTTCAGTGGCTCGGTATCTCGGTAAAACAAGAGAAGGTCAGCAATGGCGGCTGTATTCTGGCGCGTGTGTAAAGCGTCTATACACCCCAACAAGAACCTTTTCCAGCTACTGAAGAAAGCGGAACAGTTCTTCGTGGAAAATAAAAGCCACCAGACTGTCTACTGGGACACAATCGACAGTGTTCTTGACACATGCACAATAACGTTTCCATGCGGTGAACAGAAACAATTGCCCAGTTGCTCCACTACTACTTCAGCATGCGAATGTGACAACACTGTAAGCATATTACGACGAGAATCAACAAACAAGCTCAAGAAATAAAGAAATCAGCGAAGCAGCGCTCTTCTTAGTTTAATTGCATGGGCGAGAAACACAGGATGTAGGAGGTAGCGTTCTTTGGTAGTATGCAGTGAATTCAGCTTTTATGTACATTTTAAAGCAAAAATACTTGTCAGGTATTTTTTTACCTGTGAGACGTAGTGCCACCATATTGTGAGAGTATAGATGAAAAGTGATCTATGTCTTATAACCGCTACTATTGTTTGACTTTCAGTCACTGTGTCATCATGTCAATCAGTATGTCATCATACTCTGTCATCGTTTCAGTCACTATGGCATCATAAATAGGATTTTTTTCTGCTCACAAGGTTTGTATGTTCCATGCCTATTTTATGTGTAAACCATTTGTAACGCTAAAACCTTTATGAGCATGTAAATAATTATTTAGGCCCCACTATGTAACATTATTAGAATTAATTTTTTTCAATAAGGCAGGAGCAGGGGGGAAAAATCACCCGACCTCATATAAAGCCACGCAATGTGTGTAAACAAGTTACGGAACTGTTACCAAAGATGTTGATTGACAAAACATGCGAGTACGACCCAGGTGTTTACTCTAAATTACTCTAAATTATTGTAGGCCCAGTAGATTATGCCGGGAAGTTTTATATTTATAGGAGTATTTTTGTCACGTTGGAGTCATCATCGGAATGTTCTCGTTTAAAAAAAAAAAAGGAACCGCACGGGGAAAAGGCAATCAGTGCCAGTGCGCCAACATAAATCCATAATTTCACTACACAGTACACAGGGACCGAGTAAAGAATGCATAATTTCCTTCACAAGCCCTATAAACAAGCCTTCACAAGCCCCTCTATACGCGGGCGCCATCTATCCCCGTGCGAGTGAAGCGCGCTCGGTCGGCCGAACATCTTGGCTGTGTTCCAAAATTTACTCGATCCGACTCCGGAGTAAAAGTTTCGTACCGTAGCGTTCCAAAACTTACTCGAGCTTACTCGATGACGTCAGAACTCGCGTTCCAGAAGCGGGTTGTTTACTCCGGAGTAATTACTCGCGCTACCCTCCTCGATCGGGGGGTAAAGTCGGATCAAATCGAGTAAATACGTCACGTGATCTGTTCGTCGTCTGCTTTCTGCGCCGACAGCCGTCAAAGCTCGCTTGCACCGTTGGTTTTGGTGGCGGACGTTCGAAATGACAAAGAATTAGGTGCAGCATGTCTGGTTATTGCGATTTGCTGTTGTCAACGCAAGAATTGACTGCATTACATCCAGACCGTCCACCTTCCCCGGGAACGTGTACTTGTTATTATCTGAGTGCGAGCGTAAACAGGAGCTTCTCCGCATCCTCGTCTTCGGCGTTGGCGGAATGCCGTATTCTCACGCTCAAGGCCGAAAATGTTTGAACTCGGTATATGATAATGTAGTATTTTTGTTTCCTCCAGAGTGTGTGTAATGAGAGGATAAACGTTTGTAAAGCAGTGAAGGCTTCGAAAATTTCACTGTAACCACATTCGCGTCAAAGCGAACGTGAGTTTCATATCATTCTGGAGAAAGCACCCTCGCGCTGTACCGCTACACCGTGTGGAATATATTTCTGCAAAACATAATCGGTGCAAATTACAATGCGTGGAATATATGCGTTTCGGGCACCGTGACTAGAATTGCAGCGATCGCGCTGATTAATAAAAACACATTTTTTTATGTCTAGCTGTAAGGAGAAAGTAATTTTGATCTCAATATACAGCTCAAAGGGAAGGTGAGTAAAAAAGGAGCTGGTGGATCCACCTCAAAATACACCGCGTCGTCATTAACATTACCGCTCTTCGGGTGCTTTCTCCATGATCAAAAGGATCGTCTGCTATTTTCTGCCATCGCTGCTGTGTTTTCTTTTTGCCGTCGCCCAAGACGAAGCCAATCCGCGTAGTATCCAGGTGATTATCCTGGCCGTTCCAAAATCGAGTCGCGGATCGTTTACTCGCGATGTCACGTGGTATTACCCGCTGACGTAAGAGGCAGGTTACTCGGGTAAGATTTGGAACATAGCCAATGTGGTCGCCGCGCGAGACAGAATCATCACCTAAATGTATTTCTTCCACCGTGGTCTTAGGGTGGCGGCATCTCGGCCATTTCTGTGCCCAGAATGCACGCGCTTCGATCTCGTTCGGAGCGAGCGCTTCTCCGCCCGGTGGTTTGGCGCCATTTTAATGCCCATTTGGCACGCACAAACAGTTTTCAATACAACAATGGGTGTCTTCACCCTATGACAGACGCACATCGAGGCACCCTAACAGACCTATTTCTATCTTACCCAAAAAAATTGGGTTGTGTTTGTGTTTATACAGCCTAGAACTTGGTCTGCCTCACAGGGGCGACGAGTCTCCCAGCTGTAGATGAGCAATTTAGCCAGTGCGGTACAGCCGCTAGCCTGGGGTCTTTAACGTGCATCACGCAGTAGTGATACACGACCGCACGCCGGTACGATGCTCATCCAGATCGAAACGGGCAGGGGTGGGGCAAGCATCAAGGAGAATGCAGGCATCGGTGTTGCGCGCGCCGCACGTGCTGGCCTCAGCAGTAGTAACTTTTCTAAAGCGAATACCTAAAACAAATGGCATCTTGCACGCGCGTTCGTCAACGCTTTATTTTGGTTCTTCGAATCTTTTATACGGGGAAGGCGTGCGCGTGTGGCGCTTGGAACAACAATCCCTGCATTATCCTTGATGCTTGGGTAATTTAGCTATTGGCGGCGAGATGTTTCGGTGGCGCCCTCCTATGGTTTTCTCTCGTGACGCCATTACCTTGCGAACAAGCTCGATGGTGTTTCTATGAGCATGGTGGAAGCTCGAAGTCATTGCGCTCTCAAA